GGGGAGACAATGAGGGGAAAGGGCGGGAGGAGCGGGGGAGGGATGGGAAGGTGTCAGTGGGAGGTGGGGGGTGATGCTGGGAGGGGGAAGAGAAGGAGCAGATGAGAGGTGCAGAAGGGGGGCAATGGGGGCAAGAGGAGCAGGCACCATGAGGACAGAGGGGGGTGAAGGGAGGGGCAGCTTCCAGCTGGGATTTCCCTAGGACCCCTGGGGGGAGGCTGCACAGAGCTGGGCTGTCTGGGGATCCGTTCTGCCTGGAGCTGGGCACCAACCACTGAGGTGCCATGTGGGGTCAGGAAATGTTGGGGCCCTTTGAGTGTCTGAGTGACGGGCAGCAGCAGGGCTGGGCTGGGCCTGCCTGGGGGAGGGGACTGCCCCGCCCCCAGCACCTCATTTGTGTAACTTCTGAGCTCTGGCACTTCAGGGCAGGAAAAGGAAGGGGCAGGTGGGGGAGATAAATGCCAGTAGGACAGTGGTGGGAAGGGACAGGCACGGGGCAAATGGGCTGATGGAAGGGTGGGCATTCAGAGGTGGGAGGCCAAGGGAAGGGACGGATGCCAGGGGCTAGAGGGCACTGGGGTGCAGCCTGGAGCGGGACAGGCACCAGGGCTAAGAAGGGGCCAGGGGTGAGGCGGCTATTTGAGGTACAGGGGCAAGGAAAGGGTGGGTGCCAGAGGGCAGGGGGAGGGGCAGGTGCCAGGGGACAGAAGGAGGAGGGAGGGGCTCAGGCGCTATCACTGCTGATTTCTCACAACCTTCTCTGCTGAGCCCTCCTGCCCCCAGTGTCGGGGCTGCACCTGGCCTGTGCTGCCAAAGCCACCTCCCTGCTGTGCACGGTTAGAGCCTCGGTGCCCCCGGCTCAGAGACTCGCTGCCCCGGGCCGAGCAGACAGACCCCTGGTGTTTAAACAGGAGACAGGGTCCTGACCCAGACCCTGGATTTGCCCCGGGGCCCAGCCTCACTGGACGGACATGTCCAGAGTTCTCTCCCCAGGCTGCAGAGCACCAAGGGGACCTGGCTGGGGAAGCCACTTCCTGCCTCAGGCCGAGGGGGATGAGCAGGGTTCAGATGGGAAGTGTTGGACATTAGGAAAAACGTCCTGCCTGACTGGGTGGTGAGACACTGAAATAAATTGTCTGGGGGGTTGTGAAGTCTCCATCCCTGGAGATATTGAAGAGCAGGTGGGACAGACACCTGTCAGGGATGGTCTATAACAGTGTTTCTTAAACTTGTTAAGACTGAGGAACACCAAACAATATTTTTTTTAAAAGGAGAACACCAAGGATTTTATTGTTAAGCAAAAAAGCCCCCCAGGGAAAAGTTGTTGAGCCTTTTCTTTAAGGGTGGCCATTTTGAATTCTGTTCTCTCTGTGGCACACCTCTGACTGCCTTGCAGCACACCAGTGTGCTGTGAAACACACTTTAAGAAATGCTGGTCTGGATGGTGCTTGGCCCTGCCGTGAGGGCCGGGGACTGGACTCGATGACTCTCGAGGTCCCTGCCAGTTCTGTGATTCTGACGGAGGTGAAGGCAGAGAGGGGCCTCAGGGAGGCAGAGGAGCAGTGACCAGAGGGGCTGGGACCAGGGGCTGGAGGGGGTGAGGAATGCAGGGTGAGGGAGGCAGAAGGTGAGGCAGAACTAAGGGGAAGGTGGAGGGGGTGTGAGGAAAGGAGACAGGCACCAGGGGTGGGGGTGGGGAAAGGAAAGGGGCTTGTGCTGAGGGGAGGGGGCAGGACAGGAGGAGAAAAGGAAAGACACCAAGGGGCAGAGTGGGGGAGAGACAAATGTCAGGGGACAGGGATGGGGAAGGCACCAGGGCAGATGCGGGGAGAGGGAAGGTTTGATCCTCAGTGGGTAGGAAGGCGGGGGAAGGGTGGGTACCAGGGGGCTAGAGAGATACCAGGGGAGGGGTTAAAGGCAGAGGGCAGAGGAGGAGCAGATGGTCTGGCAGCAATGGGGCAAGGGGAGGGGCAGGCACCAGGGCTAACAAGGGCCAAGGGGAGACAATGAGGGGAAATGGCAGAAGCGGAGGAGGGGTGGAAAGATGTCAGTGGGGGCTGGAGGAATGGACAGGCTGGTGGTGGGGAGACAATGAGGGGAAAGGGCGGGAGGAGCGGGGGAGGGATGGGAAGGTGTCAGTGGGAGGTGGGGGGTGATGCTGGGAGGGGGAAGAGAAGGAGCAGATGAGAGGTGCAGAAGGGGGGCAATGGGGGCAAGAGGAGCAGGCACCATGAGGACAGAGGGGGGTGAAGGGAGGGGCAGCTTCCAGCTGGGATTTCCCTAGGACCCCTGGGGGGAGGCTGCACAGAGCTGGGCTGTCTGGGGATCCGTTCTGCCTGGAGCTGGGCACCAACCACTGAGGTGCCATGTGGGGTCAGGAAATGTCGGGACCCTTTGAGTGTCTGAGTGACGGGCAGCAGCAGGGCTGGGCTGGGCCTGCCTGGGGGAGGGGACTGCCCCGCCCCCAGCACCTCATTTGTGTAACTTCTGAGCTCTGGCACTTCAGGGCAGGAAAAGGAAGGGGCAGGTGGGGGAGATAAATGCCAGTAGGACAGTGGTGGGAAGGGACAGGCACGGGGCAAATGGGGCTGATGGAAGGGTGGGCATTCAGAGGTGGGAGGCCAAGGGAAGGGACGGATGCCAGGGGCTAGAGGGCACTGGGGTGCAGCCTGGAGCGGGACAGGCACCAGGGCTAAGAAGGGGCCAGGGGTGAGGCGGCTATTTGAGGTACAGGGGCAAGGAAAGGGTGGGTGCCAGAGGGCAGGGGGAGGGGCAGGTGCCAGGGGACAGAAGGAGGAGGGAGGGGCTCAGGCGCTATCACTGCTGATTTCTCACAACCTTCTCTGCTGAGCCCTCCTGCCCCCAGTGTCGGGGCTGCACCTGGCCTGTGCTGCCAAAGCCACCTCCCTGCTGTGCACGGTTAGAGCCTCGGTGCCCCCGGCTCAGAGACTCGCTGCCCCGGGCCGAGCAGACAGACCCCTGGTGTTTAAACAGGAGACAGGGTCCTGACCCAGACCCTGGATTTGCCCCGGGGCCCAGCCTCACTGGACGGACATGTCCAGAGTTCTCTCCCCAGGCTGCAGAGCACCAAGGGGACCTGGCTGGGGAAGCCACTTCCTGCCTCAGGCCGAGGGGGATGAGCAGGGTTCAGATGGGAAGTGTCTCCCAGCCTTAGCTCTGGAGTCACAACCCGGCTCTGTAACACCCCCCCCCTTCCCGGCTCCTCCCCTGGGCTTCAGCGTCTGGCTTTGACAGCAGGGTGTGTGAGGTCCCCCGGTTCCCAGACCCTCCCTGTGGGGTCCCTGCCCAGGTGGACCCAAAGGCTTGGGGGTATTGCTCTCCTAAGGGCTGGAACACCAAACAATATTTTTTTTAAAAGGAGAACACCAAGGATTTTATTGTTAAGCAAAAAAGCCCCCCAGGGAAAAGTTGTTGAGCCTTTTCTTTAAGGGTGGCCATTTTGAATTCTGTTCTCTCTGTGGCACACCTCTGACTGCCTTGCAGCACACCAGTGTGCTGTGAAACACACTTTAAGAAATGCTGGTCTGGATGGTGCTTGGCCCTGCCGTGAGGGCCGGGGACTGGACTCGATGACTCTCGAGGTCCCTGCCAGTTCTGTGATTCTGACGGAGGTGAAGGCAGAGAGGGGCCTCAGGGAGGCAGAGGAGCAGTGACCAGAGGGGCTGGGACCAGGGGCTGGAGGGGGTGAGGAATGCAGGGTGAGGGGGGCAGAAGGTGAGGCAGAACTAAGGGGAAGGTGGAGGGGGTGTGAGGAAAGGAGACAGGCACCAGGGGTGGGGGTGGGGAAAGGAAAGGGGCTTGTGCTGAGGGGAGGGGGCAGGACAGGAGGAGAAAAGGAAAGACACCAAGGGGCAGAGTGGGGGAGAGACAAATGTCAGGGGACAGGGATGGGGAAGGCACCAGGGCAGATGCGGGGAGAGGGAAGGTTTGATCCTCAGTGGGTAGGAAGGCGGGGGAAGGGTGGGTACCAGGGGGCTAGAGAGATACCAGGGGAGGGGTTAAAGGCAGAGGGCAGAGGAGGAGCAGATGGTCTGGCAGCAATGGGGCAAGGGGAGGGGCAGGCACCAGGGCTAACAAGGGCCAAGGGGAGACAATGAGGGGAAATGGCAGAAGCGGAGGAGGGGTGGAAAGATGTCAGTGGGGGCTGGAGGAATGGACAGGCTGGTGGTGAGG